TTTTAGTTGTTTATGAAATATATAAAGTTTAACATAGGTTACTGAAGGAATTAATGGATCCAATTACCTTATTGTTATTGTTGTTGCCTTGCTGGTAAGTCTATTTGCATTTCTTCTATGTGGTGTTAATGGCCTTTGTTAGTAGGCCCGACCTAGGCCCAGTGCCATCAGGGTGGTTGTCCAGGGCCCAAAATTGAAGGGGGCATTAAAAAAAAATCCAAATATTTAGGTATAAAAAAAAATTAAAAAAATTTGTCCAGAGCGCAAAATAAGGGTTGGAGGGCAAGAGCCCAAGTTTGACAATAGATGGAACGGCCAAGTTTTGGGCATTAAAAAAAATAATAACATAAGGGGACCACTTGTCCCCCAATTAACCTTAAGTTCCTAACACATCTACCATTTTTCTTGATTCCCCACCCCACTTTATTTCCCCACTGCCCTACCGTCTCTATTATTTTCTCCCAATTCCATTAGCTGCAAGTGCAGCATTTCAACTCCCAAAATTTATTGTTTCCCGATTCCCAATTGAAACTGCTGCGCTGTAGCATCCAAGCCTAACATGTCCTTCTCAGCGCCATTCACCATTCAGCACATTCACCAACCCTTTTGAGTTTGGTGGTAAACTAATTTTTTAAATTTGAATTATTAATTCATAATTTAATATAAAATTTTGCAAGTGATATAAAATTATATTATAATTGATGTATAGAATTGTTGTTGTTGATGAATTGAATTCTTGATTAATGGAATTATTTGATTTCATTTCAAACCCAATTTTTTGGTTCAATTTTATCAATTTTTATATTATGTTGGACTATATGTTGGTGCTTTTATAATATATAATAGATGTTAGTGTTTTTATAATATATAATATGTGTTGGAATGATAATTTTAATAGGAAATTTTTGTTATATCATGTGCAGGTAATTTTTGCAAACAAATTATTGAAGCCATGTCTTTTAGAAAACAACTCTCTGGTAATATGAAAAGGAAGAGACAAATCATTGAAAACAAGTGATGCTTAGAATTATTGTTGTTGTGAAATGTCTTACCATACGTAATTTAGCATTTCATGGAACAAATGAAAGGCCTTATGAAGATTCTAATGGCAACTTCTTAGGTTTATTTGAAATGATTACAGAGTTTGATCCAATAAAGCAAAAGCATTTTCGACTCAATGAGAATAAAGAGATTCATCATCACTATTTGAGCCATAAAATCCAAAATGATTGTTGATAGCTACTTTAGCTTCAAAAGTCAAAACCACAATCATTAGAAAAGTAAAAGAAGCCAAAATTTTATTTTGTCATTCTTGATTGTACTCCTGATGCAAGTCATGTGGAACAGATGAGTTTAATTTTGAGATGTGTTTACTTGTCAAGTAGGTTAATAAATATAAGGGAGTATTTCATGGAGTTTTTAAGTGTGGAAGATACATCATGACAATGACTTTGTAATGAGTTGCAAGATGTCCTAAAGTCTCTTGATCTTGATATTGATAATACGAGGGGACAATGTTATGATAATGGATCTAACATAAGAGGGAAACACCAAGGTGTCTTGGAAAAGATTGCTAGACATAAATCCCAGAGCCTTTTACATGCCATGTGGTTCTCATTGTCTTAATTTAATAGTTTGTGATATAACAAGTTCATGTTTTAGAGCAAAATCATTTTTTGGAGCATGTCAATGCATATATACGGTGTTTTCCAACTCTACAAAGCATTGAAATATTTTGTTTGAACATATTGATGGTTTAACTTTGAAGTCATTGTCAACTACTCGATGAGAAAGTTACATTGAAAGTGTTAAAGCAATTAAATCCCAAGTAGCCTAGGTTAGAAATGCTTTGTTTAAGTTGGTGGTAATTACTGAGAATCCCTAATTGAGTAGGGATGCAAGATGTTTAGCATTAGGAGAACTTTCAAGCTTTGGTTTTGTATTAAGTTTGGTTATTTGGTATGATATTTTGTTGAAGATTAACATAGTGAGCACAAAATTACAATCTGAAGACATACGTCTTGATGTTGCTATAAAGGCATTGGAAGCATTTGTTACGTTTTTTGAAAACTACAGAGAAACTGGTTTTGCTTATGTCATGAGTGATGCTAAAAAAATTGCACTTGATTCGGAAATTGACCATGTTTTTCAAACTAAACGTCATAGACCTAGAAAAAGACATCATGATGAAATTAATGATAATGAAAGGGAATAACAGTCTGCTGAAGAATCATTTAGAACATATTATTTTCTTCTTATAGTGGATGTTGCTCTTTCTCAACTGAAACACAGGTTTGAACAGTTAAAGGCTTTTGAATCTATTTTTGGCTTCTTGTTTGATGCACTGAAGTTAATTTCATTGGATGATCAAGAGCTAAAAGAAAATTGTATGAATCTTGAAGCACATTTGAAATATGGAAATACCATAAAAGTAGATGGAGCCGACTGATGTTCCGAATTACAGGTTTTGCAAATGATTTTACCTGAAAAATCATTTCTCTCTAATAACCTTTGGACATCCATGGAAATAGCAAACTTTGTAAAAGAAATTGACATGTGTCCTAATGTCTTAATTGCTTATCATGTACTGTTGACTATACCCGTGACCGTGGCATTTGTAGAAAGAAGTTTTTCACAATTGAAATTATTAAAATCTTACTTGCGGACCACTATGACTTAAGATAGGCTAAATGGATTAACAATCTTATTGATAAGCTCATATTTATATAAATTTTACATCAAATTCACTTGTCTTTTCTTAGTTAATTCCTTATATTTTTGAGCTATTTACTTTGCTTTTGTGTTTTGTAGGATTTGTCAAGTAAAGAAAAGAAAAACTGCCTGTGCAGGTCAGCTGACTTTGGAAGCAAGTTGCGGATAGCTCAGAATGAATTAGAGAATGAGTCTTATATGCTTGGAAAGCTATGGATGTCGATTTTCTGGAGCATTTCGCAAATTGTTAATATCATTTTTCTAGAAGAAGTTATAGCCATTTTAACACTGAAAGGTTCCCAAGAGGCTGAGTAGTTTGTAACTGACAAGAAAGCATTGAAAGCAATAAATCCAATAAAACTAGCAACCAAAACTGATGCAGCCAAGAACAAGCCAGCTGACACCTATTCAAATATAAGAGGAAATAGAAAATTAAGTGGGAGTAATGGGCATAAAGGCTGCCCAAAGAGTTACAATTGTTTTAGCATTGCCTCTCACTTATTGTCATCACTAAATGGCTATTAGTGAATGAGTTATGGACAAAAAACTGTGGTAGGAGAAAAGAAGAAAAGGGTTGCAGGTTGCAGTGGCAAACAGTGGAAAAAAGGTGGAAAAAAAGATAGAAAAAAAAAGAAGGAAAGCAAGGAAAAAAGGCAAGGCTGCTGCGATGGGGAAGGAAGGAAAGGAAGGAGGAAATCTTGGCATTCTTTTCTTTCGGTTTTATCTTCTCAAACTCATGTCTTTCTTTTGGTATAATTTGAGAATTATGTGTAACTAATTTTTAGTAGTTGGGCTGTTTTGAAGCCCCTAATATGATTGTAAGTTTGTTATGACATTTCGTTTGAATTACTTTTATGAATGGATGAAAATTGGTTCACTACTTGTCTCATTGATGAATTCTTTATGTGTTTTCTACGGATGCATACTTAGTAAGTATATCTAGGATTCTAATGCTATGAATATGTGTGTGCTTGCCCTTGTCGAATGAGGACCTACATATGTTATAGAGTAGTACTTGTTAATTGCGATTAACATGTGAATCAATTTCTAGGATAAGTAAGACAACGCTAGTACTTACGATGCCTTGTGATGACTCAAACTCTTTTTGTTCTTAATGATTTCTACTTGTTAAATATATGAACACACCATTCTAGATTGCATGTTAGGGATTAGGTTAAGTTGAAAATGTCATTCTCTTAACATACTACATAAGAAAGAGTAATAGGTTGAGTTCTAATATTGAGCCAACTTGAGCATCTTCATCCGAAAATGAAAGGAATTTGAATGAAACATAACATGTTTGCATGATTATAAATGGTGGTGGATAGCAATTCCCCTAACTCGTTTTTCTTAATTTGCGAACTACTTAAAATCTGTTTTTGTCCTGTTTTTGTTCGATTTAATTTAAATAGCAAATCAACTCCAAAAATCCCAAAATTTTGTGTGAGTGTATCTCTGTGTGTCTAGTGTCTTCATATAAAATTTCGTAGACTTTAAATAAGTGTAAGTCCGTCTAATAATTATATTTCGGTGGCTGGTCAGTAGGGACAGCAACACACTTTTTGTGACATTTTAAGTAGTTAGATACAACAATCTCTTGTGCAAAAGACCCTTATTACTTTGGGGTGTGCTTTACATCCATGGAAATAGCAAACTTTGTAAAAGAAATTGACATATGTCCTAATGTCTTGATTGCTTATTGTGTACTGTTGGCTATAACCATGACCGTGGCATCTGTAGAAAGAAGTTTTTCAAAATTGAAATTATTAAAATCTTACTTGCGGACCACTATGACTCAAGATAGGCTAAATGGATTAGCAATCTTATGCATTGGAAAGGATGAGATTGAATACTTGGAGTATGATGATATAATTGATGATTTTGCTTCAAAAAATGCCAGAACAATTTCTTAAAGGTTGAAATTTCAAGGAGTTTTGCTAGGAGTGGTTGTATATAATTGTACTTTTGATTGTCGGGGTTTAGGTACTATGTCCCCCCGTTGTATATTTTCTCAAGTAATATAATTTGGGCATGGGGGCCTAGCCCCTAGCTTCGACTGGGTTCCAGCCCTCTTTAAATTTTTTTTTAAGCATATGTTTCTGTATTTTAAAAGGGCACATTTTGAGCTTTCGCACTGGGTACCAAAAAACTCAGAATCGACCCTGCTTGTCAGCAGAGTTTTTGGGGCTGTTTTTCTTTGCACTTAGGATGCAATGACGATATTTCAAGTTAATTACATATTTTAAAAGATTGATGCATATTAGCGAATGGTAGAATGTGCTAATTGACTCGATATCTTCAACGCTCTCGACCTCCCTCTTAACCTCTTAATGTGATCATCCCTTTCTCAGCTTCCACTGTTGCGTAACTAGTTCCATTTCTGTATCTTATACACTGTCATAAAAATTTGGTTCATGTTGTGTTGCAGAAACAATGCTGGTGTTATGTTCTGCCCCCACCGGCTTTTGGAAGACGGAATTGAGATGCAATTTGCAACCAATCATCTTGGTAATCACTATGATTCATATTTTTGTTGAGATCTATCAGATTTCATTGATGATTATCTTATACAAACCTTTTTAGTTATTGTATTCTAGTTAAGCAAACTACCTATTTTACAGCTCATTTTCTCTTTACAAACCTTATCCTCGAAAAAATGAAGCATACTGCCAGAACTACTGGTATGGAAGGCAGAATTGTGAATTTGTCATCGATTGCTCTTATACACTCTTACAACGGCTTAATTCGAAAAATCAATGATTGGAGCGGGTAAGTAATGATTTGAGTAATCCATTGTGGTCTTTCACAAACCAGCTAGACCACGATACATAAATTTCTTGTTTTGTGTTGTTAGTTACTCAGACAAAAGGGCATATGGGCAATCCAAATTAGCAAACATACTTCATGCCAATGAGCTCTCTCGTCGATTGCAGGTGATTTTGTTACCTACATCATGCACATTAACACCACGTGACAGTGATGTTGTTACGTTAATTTGCACTCTACAAAAATGCCCTAATAGTTATCACGCATGCACACTAACACCATCATTTAGAACTACATACATATATTGTTATGAGTTTCACTTACATACTGTTATGTAATAAGTCTCACATCACATTGTTTTTCTGGTCAATGCACTTAAGTTATTAAATTAAAGTGCATTCATTGCTCAATAATATAACATATCAACTTTTTTTCATCTTTCATATTATAACAGTTGATAGTATACCCATCACAGTTAAATCTATATCACAAAATAGCCTTGTCATGCTCATTTTTCCCCGAAAATAAGGGTGCCTATGGTGTTGTGGTGAATGTTTGACACTTGCATTAATCACTGGCAAAAAGAGTAGATCCAAAGAGATTCGTACCACAAAATTAAGAGCCTTCAATGTTTTGCAGTTTGTAGGAAAGAAGAATAAACATTGCAGTTTGTAGGAAAGAAGAATAAAGTCAAATTACTAACTTCAGAAGGGCAAATAAATTTTAGGGTCCCATGGACTTGTATAACCCCATATGAAAATCATTATCTACTCTTTCAATAATTATTTTTGTATGTATGTTGTTCTACTGTTAATTTAAACGTATACGCTCGTATGATTATGTACAACATTTTTAACATGCATATTGCTTGACGTACAGTGCTGGGAGAAGGTGTGAACATAACTGTCAACTCAGTCCAGGAATCTTAATAACACCCCCTCTTTTTTATTTTTTTTTAAACTACCGCACCCCTTACCCACCCCAAACTTCGAACCCAAGGCCTAGACTACCCCCACACCTTACCCCACATCCTCACCACTATTACACCACACCTTAATGACACCCTCATGAGGCATTCTGCATTGAGTATGCATGCTAACGCACATACATCATGTATGTAGGGTTATATGTATATATATCATGACGTTCTTGGCGCTTCTCTGAAATGTATTTTCTCTTTATATTTTCACGTATAGAGTGTAGAATTATATTTTTGATAAAACCTCATAGATTTGAAATTCCCATGCAAAATGAATTATGCCTTTATTTAATTTCCATCATCGATCTTTTTTTACGTAGAAACTTTGAAGTTCTTCGCCCTTTGGATGTGGAAGAATGTACCTCAGGTAATTAATTAATGAATTACTGTTTTTGTTTAACAGATGATTTAAACGGTTAAAAGGCAGTAATTAGCTGACTGTATATTTTGCATGCTGCATTTTCTAAATGGTACGTTTCACTTCCACAGGGAGCAACCACAACATTGTATGTTGCTCTGCACCCAAAACCGAAGGGTGTGACCGGAAAATACTTGGTCGACTGCAACGAGTGTTGGAGCAATATTAGAAAATATGAAAATAACACAAGAATTTCAATAATAATAATCATAAAGAATTCATAACATCAATTATGTATGAGATTAATAAAAACAACTAGAGAAAAAAGGTAGGAAAAACAGACAAACTTGGAGATTGAGGCTTGCATAAATGCAATGTCCTAAAGACATAATTTCGTCCCTATTCTTGTGATTGTAGTTCGGTAGGCGTTCATCTCTCAGGATTCAACAATCTATAATTCGAAGTTGAAGCACTTCAATCTTTGGACTCTGACGAACTTTATATATTCCGTACTCTCAAGACACAACTCGTAATTTGATAAACGAAGAACAAGATAAACAAAGTGAGGAAATCCTATTTCTCAAGCGTAAAAATTAACTCTAATTTTTCTTATTCCTTAATGCCATGGTTTCATGAGGTTAAATAAAACCGTAGACATTGATTGGCGAAGAGATGCATACATACGTTTTTTAGATGGCACCATTTCAAAAGGTCCATACTCAATGTGGCAGCACTTTGTGTAAGATGGCACCCACTTAATAACAAATACGGTTTGATACAAACGGTTAAAGCATTTTTCATTCAAATATTGAATTAAATATTATAATTATTATTATAATATATAAATTCCAAAAATCCTTCACATGAATGAAAAATTAGGAAGAATTTGAGAGTACAGGCAGACGAGGAGATGCATCGGGACAGATGTCGGACTTGAACCTAACCTAGCGAATACTTATTGGATTTACTTGGTGAGCAGTGGATGTGAAACATCTTGAACTGTTCACCGCAACAGTAAATCGAGACAATAAGCAACACACATCACTAATCCTAATATATTACGATTCATACGATTGTGTTCATTTTAGTCCTAAACAAATCCCGAATTCATGAGAGCTTTAGAAAATTTAGTCATGTCATTCTCATAGAAGCAACCCACTTTTACTCTCACATATATGACCACTAATTAAGAATACTTTGTAATATTCCTTTTATTTATAAGATATCATTGTCATTAAGTATAAATATACATCCTAAAACTTTTGCAGACAACACAGTTCTTTTATCGTAGGAATGAGGTATACAGTGTGTTAACTTCTTTGAATCATGCCCAACTAGTTTGCCTATTGAACTTAGACCATGGGATCTCCAATCAATTAAGTTGGGTTTCCGCTCTGCTGATTCATTAGTTATGTTGGCTTTAGCCTCATTCCTCTCGATGATCAACTTACTCTCTAATCAAACCTTTATTAATTGGTACCACTAAGGTTTACTATCTTTAATGGTGTGCACAATCTATCTCAATTTCAAGTACTCAAAAGTGTGTGTGTGTGTGTGTTGGGACTTTTGTAAGTAATTTGCTAACATTATAGGAAGTGGACTTCCCCCACATTTAAGATATTTGTAAGATGGTCTCTAAACTTGTCATACCTTAAACAATTACTCATTACAAGAGATGACATTTTGATTTTCTCACTCAATTAGCAAATTACATATCCATTCTTCTTAAGCAAATCTCATATCTCAAAGATAAATAAGCGACCCCCACAATTCTTTCATAATTGTGGTTAATTTTTTTTGTCATTGAATTGATCACATTTTGTAGTTTAAGTAGGAAATGATTAAGATATAGACTCTATCTATTTTCTTAGGCCTTAATATGCCTCACTACTCAGTTCTAGGCAAAGCACTTCTTGGCTTTCATCCTTAGCCTACTTTCAAATTGCCATGGATGACGGATCTGGAACCTTCACAAAGGAAATGTCATCCCCTTTTGAGTTCAGGCTTTGGCCTATCAAAGTGACCATGCAAAGTATTCTAATACTTTCGTAGTCTCTTTATGCCCTTCAACATAGGTCTTGACCCCTACAATTTAATAGTCATCTTACTAAGAGGAGAGCAACTTCATCCCAAATAATGAAGCTTTATGCCTTGACTAATGGAACATCACTTATGATGCCGCATGTATGAAATAATTGTCCAAAAGATCCTTACCTCGTTGTTGCCTGATTCTATCAATGTTTGCGGAACGGCTAGGCCTGCAGATATGAGTCACATCTTGGATGACTCGACGGGAATGTGAGGCTCTTTGGCTTCTTGCTTTGTCATCTCTGCTTCTACGCTCTTCATCCTCATCTTTTCTGTCTCATTTTGGGCCACTTGGAAATTGAACATTTCTTCCCCTTGCTTAAACAATTCTTTTTCTTGCTCCTCGATTTCCTACAACATCCTTGAAGAAGAAGACATTGTAAGAAGGAAGTAGAAACTATGAATATTAATGATAGAGATTTTGATTTTGGTGAAAAATGAAGTAGAAACTATGAATAATGATAGAGATTTTGATTTTGGTGTGTGATTTCTTAGGATGGATCATGGATGGTGGGTTTATAAAAAAAGGATTAGGTTGTAGATAATACCACGTGGCATGCTGTCATTCGTTCAAAATCTGATCGAAATCTATCCTCAAAGATTTGTAAACAGATTGTGACACGTGGTGCGACGTGATTGGTTAGAAATCTTATTGGAAATCTATCCTCAACAATTTTGAAAAGGTAACGACATGTGGCATGACGGTATTGGATAAAAATCTTACTGAAATCTATCACCAATAATTTTTTTTTCGGGTAATGACACGTAGCGCAACGAGAACTATTAAAAATCTTATCCGAAATTACAAATTAAATTATTTTGTATTATTTTATAAAATAAAAAATACTAATATTTTATTGCCTATTGCCGGCTATTCAATTTAAGGGTGGAGATGCAAAAGGCAGTTACTGTTCATTAAAGGCAATTACTATTCATTGGGTGGATTCAATAGTGAGCAGCCCTAGAGGGCCTTTGCAACGCTGAAGTTGCTCTAATGTTCGGCGTAGAAGGCCAACGACCAGTTGCTAATTATGATGTTCATACGTGAGTCATGGCATGGCCACAACACCCATTCCTTGTGCACTGCTACAACGTCGACAAGTCATTTGGCCTCCTGCTAGTACTAGACGCCACCAAAGTCCGATCAATATTGAATGACATTGACGGCGCCGTGTAACAGTCGCACTTTTCATTTAGTTACAAAACCCCAACAGGTCCTAAAGCACCTTCCCAACAGTAAATTCAGCCGATTTTATTATACCGACTTAATTATATTTACAACTCTAAAAATCAATTTGAGTCTCACTTAATCTTATCACTCTATTTAGACCATCTCCAACCCTTGAAGTAAAACCTAAAATTTTTAGCTCAGAAAATTTAGGTTTTAACCCGTAAACAACTTTTCTACTCCAACTCTTCTGGCCTAAATTTTTTAGCCCGAAATTATTGAAGAATAAATTTTGGCTAATTTTTTCTTTTAAGTAAATTTAAAAAAAAAAAATTAAGTACACTATCCTAATTTAATTTTATGAACATTTTAACCTAAAAATATTTAGATTCCAATAAATATTAAAAAAAAATCACTACATTTAGGTGAATTTTTTAAATTATTTTAATTGTTGGATTTAAAATTAGACCGTTAGATCTTTTTTTATACTGTTGGATTTGATCATATTAGCTATCAGCTGGTGGATTCAATAAATATATAAATATAAAACAAACAAAAAAATTTGAACGTGGATCGTTGGATGAACCAACAGCCCATTTAAACGTGGCCGCACGATCAGAAAAAGAGCTGTTAGGCTCATGATTGCCAGCAAACAGCCAGGGGACAAGCCTACATGGGTGGGGTCCGGCTGCTACTTCCTTGGAGCGTGCAAGGGTTTAGGTGAGTGAGAGATGGGCATTTGGGCTTCACTTTCTGTTTTCCACTCTCACATATGGGCTGCACCACTAATTTTGGGCTAAATCTTGGAGGGAATTTGAGTTTTGTTTAGGTTTTAACATTTAACTCAATTTTAGAACAAGGGTTGGAGAGAAAATGAGGGGAATAGAAGGGAAAATTTAGGACTTACTCCAAGGGTTGGAGTTGGTCTTATGTCTCGCTTTGACTTTTATTGTCAAAATCCTTAACAAGTATGTTAAACTGTTTATGTGGCACAAATAAACAAAGTGTTGCTAAGATGTGTGTCACATGTCTTAACAACAATGGGTCTTAATTGTGCAATATAAACATTGGCGATTGTGTTAACTTGTCACGCTCTGATCCCGACATACGTCCAGGATCGACACGTGACGTCACCAAATACCCGTATATCTAACATACCCCGTCTCCTAAATACATACAAAGTATCATTCAAGATCCAGATGCGTAATAATTTTTCGTATACTTTATGGCTGCATCTAACATCTTCGTTAGACTACCTATGTACCCTCATTAAGGATTAAGCCATTCGTAGTTCAAGTTCTCTATAACTCGACATATAACACGATTCGTTCAAGCCAAAAAGGCATAACATTTCTCAATCAAACATTTGGACTTGACAAGCATGAATTATTCAATTCAAGCTACATAATAACCCACATGATAATCAAGGTTTCTATTTCATCCATCATATACATCATTATGTTTCAACATAATCGTGCAGGCAATGATCACCCAACGTGGATATACCAGGCATGATCACTCCTGAATACGTAGGGTCCCCCATCACGAATATACCAAGCAAGACCATCCATGTACCTTTGCTACATGGTGCAATAACTTCAACACACAACTTAACCACATCTCAACCTCTATGAGTTTCAAGGTAGTCATCTACACCATCAACTTCTCAAGGCCATCACTAATATGTCACACAAGCATATAGGTGCTACAAGATACTTCAAATAGGGTTCTAGGATAACCTTATCATAAAAAAATAATCATACACATCAATCACAGTACTAAAAGATAATTAAACTCAAATATATCTCAACCATCATCAGTACACAAGCCAATTCATGTTTAATAGCATAGTCTATGGCTAATATATAAAATCACATTTCAATACAAATCTCATTTATAAGACCAAGACATATTCACATATGATATTAATAAAAGAAAATAAGTTAATATCCATATCTCATATACTCAAGTCACTCTCTAACCAATGTAAGCCCACTAGACTTCAATTAGTCCCCCGTAGTATTAATTTTAGTATTTAGAACGTTTCGAGACATGTTGACCAAAAGTCAATTCTTGGTCAACAGTAGATCCACAACGCTACAAAATTTGATCCAGAAGATCCGCACATCATAATCTAGATCCGTAACTTCTTAAGGTCCACATTATTCTCAAAGAACAACATACTAAAATCTCATCGCGATCCGACAGTCGGATCTCCGCCAATTACTAAAGTTAGGTGGCGATCAACAATTTACTTTACAAACTTAAAAAACCAATTTGGGAAGATCCGCATGTCAGATTACCGATCCGTAAGTTCCTAACATCCTCAAATATTACTTATTATAATTTCTTAAAGTTTGGTGACGATCCAACGGTCGGATCATCGGTTTATATTTTGACCTATTCACATATCGAAATGAAGCTAAGTCCAGACAATCAATTTACGTCGTACGAATATCAAACATGAACTCATGGCATCTAAAAGTGCTTAAAAATACATCATCGGCCCACAGGCTACTCGCCGCCGCATGCGCCACCGCGGGTGGCGGTCAGTCGCCCCAGCTCGCCGGAAAAATCCAACTATTTCCGAAAATTACCAAAATTTACAGGAATGAAGATCTCAATGAGTAGAGTAAACTTTATACCTACGGCCAAGGCCAATTTGGCCGGAAAACACCCCAAACTGGCCACGAACTGTCGAAACCCTAAGGTGGGTGTGCTTCAAATTCGGCTTCCAATCGAACTCCGACGCCTCCAACACCGCTTGGGCTTGGGATTGAGGGGAGTCTTTTGGTGGTGGTCATGGATGGTGAAACTTGCCGGAGCCATCAGAAAAAGGGATAAAGCCGCCGGAACACTCGTGGGTTGGTGGCTTCGAACAGGAAAAATGGGAAAGAAATTGGGAAATCTAACACTACAAGGATGTAGGGCTCATCAAGATCTTTCCATGACACTAAGATCACTCAAAACGGAGTTCAAATGAAGGAGATATAAGCGGGTCAAGTTTGTGGGTTAACGAGTCCAATTCAACCCCAAAACAGGTTAGTAGCAGCCCTTTCTCCTTTTTTTTTTTTTTTTTTTTTTTTTTCTCCTCCTTATTGGTTCTTTTCACCGGTTCCCTTAACCCAAATATATATTTGGATCTTTTACCCTTTAGTGGAAATTAAATAATTTTCACAACCTAAAGTTTCACAACTTCAAATGTCCGTAACTATACCGTCATAACTTGGACTCTCAAACAGTTTTCGCTTATGCGCTCGTGGCTTCGAGACCTATTTGAAAATGTTACTTGTGACCTCAAAAGGTCAACGAGTAAATAATAATTTTCCAAATTTCACCCTTCGTACCTAGTTTAATTGAAATCTAATTTCAAATAAACTAATATAAATTCTCGAAAAATAATATAAAATCTCAATAATACAAATACGTAGATTATAACAGTGAAATCCAGGAACGGAATTTCACATTACTAATTTTGGAAAATTAAATAAAATTTGAAGTTTGAGATTTAAATATCATGAATGATGAGTTCAATACTAATTTATTCGTCTTTTTTTTACTATATTTCTAAACAAAGATTTTACAATTAAACATCATAAACTCCAAAACACGGTAAAAAGTTCAAAAGTTAAAAGGGCCTCGAATTGGAGAAAATTTTCATTGTGTCCGAAATACGGATAATACACCATGTGTTTTTATACAAGTGATGAGAAATTTTATTTTTTAAGTTATTAACTCTTTAACACACATATTTTGTATAGTGACACGTAGTGTACCACCCTGTGTTCCTGTCACATTGAAAAATCTCTCATCGAATTTGTTGAGAATTGAGTCCTATATTGATGGGAGGAGAGACATTGCATAAGCTTATAAGAGGTTAGGCTACTTCCCATATTGTCAATTGGTTTTATAGTGAAACCTCAACTTTCTTTATGGTATTAGAGCATGTTGTTTCATGTGTGAAGTCAATCGGCTACACACGCTCCACGTTATTTCGTTGTATTGTCCACGTGTTAGACTTGAAAATTCGTCACACGTGAGGGGGCGTATTGAGAATTGAGTCCTACATTAATGGAAGGAGGAATTTTGCATAAGTTTATAAGAAGTTGTACTATTCTTCATATTACCAATTAATTTTATAATGAAACCTCAACTTTTTTTCATAATTGAGTTTGAAGTTACGCTGTCATAAATAAGCGTATTATTATCTACCAACAATCAACCCACCGTAATAACATCTCATGTAATTTTGTTTGCTTTGCCTCTGCATCTTTGTCTTTGCCTTCTAGAAGTTTTCAATTCTGTATGTTCCAAATTGCTATAAATAAAAGCAAGAGAGTCCTTCATAGCCCAGTTTGTCCTTCACATATTCTTTTGCTTTTGACAAAAAGGAGAAGGGAAAAACATTACTCTGAGCTTCTCTGCCTCTGGAGTTCTGTGGTTGGTTGGTTGGTTAGTTTTGTGAGATTTTTGGAAGATGGGTTTCTTTGCATTGGTGACGGGAAAACGAGGGCCAAGTGGGTTTGGATCAGCTTCCACTGCTGAGCAGGTTACTGAAGGAGTTGATGCATCCAGCCTTACCGCCATTGTTACTGGTCAGTTCTATTTGCACCTTGTTTTTCTTTGCAGTTATGGGGATTTTCTATGGTCCGGAATATCTTATACCCATGATTTTTTAACCTCTAAATTTTTTGTCCAAGATACAATAATCAAGATCTAAACCTAGTATAGAATATTTAGACCAAACCCAACTCAGGGCTAAATGCTATTTTTTTAGGTTTTATTCCCCTTCCAACCCAACCCAATACATGTTAAATGTGTGGGCTAAAAGCTAAAAGTCAAACAAAAGCCAAATTCCTTCTAGGATTTAGCTGAGAAAATGGTGTGGGCACCACCAACAGGGTCCCACCCACATGGGCATGTTTCACAGGATTTATTGAATCCAATGACTGAAATCGAATATAATCAAATCTAACGACGGTCCAAGTTTAAAGTCAACAGCTAAAATAATTAAAAAAATTATTTAACTCAAAATTCATCCAAATTTAGTGATTTTTTAATATTTATCAAAATTTAAATATTTTTAGGTTAAAATGTTCATAAAATTAAATTATGATAGTGTACATATTTTTTTTTAAATTACTTTAAAAGAAAAATTAGTCTAAATTTATTCTTTAATAATCTCAGGCTAAAAAATTTAAACCAAAAAAGTTGGAGCAGAAAAACTATTTCTAAGCTAAAACCTAAATTTTATAAGCTAAAAGTTTTAGATTTTAACCGAGAGGTTGAAGATGGTCTTAGGGCCACCATAGAATTTCCGTTTCGTCTCTTTTTCCGGCTTTTTCTTCTTTTGTGGTGTTAATTGTTGGGCTATTTGAGAGTACCAATCTGGAGGACAGACAAATATATTTGGTTTCGTCTGGATTGATTATTTATCATTAAAAATAAGTCTTATTTGTATAAATCTAGCTCTGTCGGTAAAGAAATTGTTTTGTCATGTTTTTTGTCCGTCCTTGTTTTACCAAGAACAATTATAGACATGGTTGTGAGGATTTGGAAAGGGTAAATTTATTCACACACTTCTTTTTAATTTTTATCATTCAATATTCTTTAATTCATTCAATTCAGATGTCAGAAATTAAGAAGCATGTGTAAAAGATAAAAAAAAATGTGTCCATAGCACTGTTTAAAAATTATCCCACTTTTAAAGTTACGGAGCTTTTGCTTGAGCTGATACGGGTTGACTATTCTTTCCAATTTCCATTTATAAAATTAGTTTCGGTGGAATATTTAAATTCTTTCATGGATCAGAGCTAAGTTTGTCGACATATAAAATCTATATTTGATACACACATGTCACCTTACATGTTTGGCGTGTAACCTCTTCTTTCTTACATAATTAAACATGAAATTAAAAGCGGTAGTATGGCTTTTGAATGTAAATTTTGGGCAACTAATTAATAAAAACTTACATATCTGGACCACTACATTTAAGTGGGCAATTAACCTTAGTGCTGTGATAATACGTAAAAATTAGTGTTCTAAAAATCGGTCAAGACGCAGGACTGTGGTCAATCATCGGGATAAATGCAAAATCAGGACAGGTATTAGGCGAGCGCCGAGGCGGCCTGAGCGGCCCTTGGGCGGCCTAGGTGGCCTAGGCGGTCTGAGAATTTCAATTTTTTCTATGTTTGAACTTGAGAAAGGATGAATGCAAATTAGCTGTGTTCTGGATTTTCTGGACTTCATGCTTTTGGTCTGTGTTCTTGTGAATAGGAAGAAGATGAGAGAAAATTAGTTTCTCTCTCTTCCTTCCACATCCACGTGATCACTTTTAAACTATTTAATTTTTTTTTTTTGTCCATTCAAGTTAAAAGTTGTCAGTCCATCCATAGCATTAAGTGCTATTAATTTTTTTATCATTAAAAAAACATAGATTGTCAGCCTATCATAGCATTAAGTGCTATTGATTTTTTCGAGTTGTTAGATACGCATTTTTTTATTCTTTTACTATTTTATTCAGAGATTTCATATAAGTATAATTTTTTGTAAGTGTCAGTATACACTTATTTACAAGATATACAAGAAATTTACCTAAATCCGCCTAGGTGCTAGGCGCCAGCCCACCACTCAACTAGCGCCTAGCGTTTTTTAGAACCTTGTAAAAATATGACTCTTGTATTGATTTGTGCAAAATATTATAATATCTAGGGTTACCTAAATTATGAATTCTATATAAATTACAATTGGAATTTACATTTCTGTAATACATGCAATAATTATGGAATTCCGGAATGATTAATTTAACACTTACTAAGATGCTTCTTTCTTGTATTAATGACAAACTTTGCTGTTTCTGTCATTGTAAACTGCAGGAGGGGCTAGTGGGATTGGGTTAGAGACTGCAAGGGTGTTGGCACTCCGCGGAGCTCATGTCATCATCGCCGCCAGAAACCTTGAGGCTGCAAGTGAAGCTAAACAGCTTATTCTTAAAGACAATCATACAGCTCGAATCGATGTTCTGAAACTTAACCTCAGCTCTATCAAGTCTGTTAGATCATTTGTCAACAGCTTCAACGCTCTCGATCTCCCTCTCAACCTCTTAATGTGATAAATTCTATCCCTTTAACATTTTTCAGTTTCTTCAGTTTTATAAAATTATATGTATTGGTTTTGTATATGTTGCAGAAACAATGCTGGTGTTATGTTCTGCCCCTTCCAGCTTTCAGAAGATGGAATAGAGATGCACTTTGCAACCAATCATCTTGGTAATTTTCTACTACTATCTCTTTCTGTTGTAATTGTTTTGGTGTCGTGTGTTCTACTAAAGACTAAAGTACTGGGTTGAATTGTTTTTCTTTAAACTGTAACGTTATTCCACTTATTGAAATCTAGTTAATTCCAATTACCTATTTTACAGGTCATTTTCTGTTAACGAACCTTCTCCTTGAGAAAATGAAGACTACTGCTAAAACTACTGGTGTGGAAGGCAGAATTGTGAATCTATCATCGCTTGCTCATGCAGGCACTTATAAAGGCGGGATTCGATTCGACAAAATCAATGATCCAGATAGGTAAGTAATGACATCTTTTTCCATGTTTTGATTATTTATAAACAGCTAGCTCTAGCTCACTATTCTGTAACTCCATTTCTTGTGTCCTTCAGTTACTCCACGATAAATGCATACGGGCAATCCAAATTAGCAAACTTACTGCATGCCAATGAGCTCTCTCGTCGATTGCAGGTTATTCTTTTACCTATATTGCGTGCATTACCCTCTTTTGATCCTGTAATAAGATGGCTTATCACCGTGGATATCGATTCTTTTGATTAAGCTCGTAAGCATATTATGATAAAGCATTTTATATAACGACAACAATCTAATTTTCTATTATTTATTGTTCACTCTACTCACTGTAGTAAAAGGATAGTTCTTTTTACTTCTAGATGAATGCTTGACACTTCATTCGGGCACAGAAGTCGGCAACTTGTGCTCCATAGGACTCACAATATACACTGTGGAGACACGTGTAGTGGGGCTGGGAGATTCATAACTAAAACGAGTAGGTTGTCTTTGCCAACGATCTGTCCCTGTGTATTAAAAGTCACCAATGTTTTCGTACGGACCCAATGATAATTAGGTCGAGTGGTAATTCGGTATTCAATATAGGACGTGGCTTGTCTTTCTCATTCTCACTGCACAAACTTCGTAATTTCAATCATTCATTTTATTTATCATTATTTAAAAATTATTTTTATAAATATTTTATTTGTAAGAATGATTTTTAAGTGATGATAAAAAGAATAAATGTTTCGGTATATAAAATTTGTTCGATAAGAGATAACATTATGTTGTTTGTTAAAAAAATAATTCTTCACATGTAAAGTCCTAAGTATTATCTTTGATTTTATAGGAAGAAATCTTGAGAGTTCGAATGTTAATTCTCCTTTTCTAAGAAAAAGCATTAGTAGTGGGGAGACTTTTAAAGTCAATTATTGTCCCTTTTTTTTTTTGATCCATCAATCACTGTCCTTCCTTAAGTGGAATTTTCCTTTGTGCCCTCGAAAGTCAAGAACTCTCTCCAAAGATGCGACATGTAATTTGTGATGTCAATCAATCACAAATAGAAGGCAAGTCAAGTTTCTGCTCTTAAATGGTATCCTGTTTGCCGTGTTTGTGCAGGAAGAAGGTGTGAGCATTACAGTCAACTCTGTCCACCCCGGATTGATCATGACACCTCTCATGAGACATAATCCTCTTTTGATGAGTATGTTAATGTTACACTCTATCCAATTCCTACATAATACAAGAACGATTATCTTGCATGTTCGACATACTAAGTGATATAGACCGCAGTGTATCAAATTAATCTACTTAAGTTATAAGACGTGTTACTGTTTTACTTACATAATTTGATCGTATTTCTTTTGCAGAGGCTTTTAAGATGTTCACCTTCTGCATGTGGAAGAATGTACCTCAGGTGATTAATTAATTTAATCTCTTTGTTTTAGCAGAGGGATTAAAATGTTATTACCTGGCTTGTTATGTTATTGTTTTTTTTCAGGGAGCAGCCACAACATCGTATGTAGCTCTGCACCCAAAGTTGAAAGGTGTGACCGGAAAATACTATGCCGACTGCAATGAGACGGAACCCAGCAAAGATGCCGGTGATGAAAACTTGGCCAAGAAGCTTTGGGACTGCAGCAACAAGTTGATTGATGGAGCTTCCGAAATCTGAATCTTGGAAGTATCTTTATGTGCAGTCTGTGATAACATTAGTCTATATGGTTACAGGTCGGATAAACTTACATACGACCGGAATACTAAGATCTAGGTCATCGCATGAATAGTTTGGATTGATTTTGAAATATTTTCACTTTGTCATCGTTGTTGTATCAATGTTATTTCCCGTAAAGCATAAGTCGTTTGTTGGATAATAGGTGCCATTGTATGATTCATAGTGATTGGAACCTTGGTGAAAATTTGGGACCAAATCTCATAAAATGGCTTTCTATTCCTAAAATAAAATCAAAAGTAGTAAGTATAAAAGTATAAAATGACACACACCCTTTTTTTGTTATATGCACATGTAATCATGTTCGTTGTTTTCATTTGATTTATTTAATTCGACAACCAGAAATAAAGAAGTCTAAAAAGAATGAAAATCAGCTCAATTCTTTTAAACTTTATGATATTATTTATAATTTGGACGTGAGAGCTTTCTGACATTGAAAAAAAAATTTTTAAAAACCAGTAGATTAAAAACTATTGGTTCTTTCATGATTCAGTTTATCGATGAACCGAGTATATTTCACGTCTTGCCATATATGGAATATTTACTTGCAACGTGTATGTAAATTATTTTGAATTTTGACTTCTCATAGGTTTCCAAGGACCAGAGCATAAACAATGAATCAAACCTTGTTATTATAGTTCGGATGAAGATTAAGGCAATTTATTTGTAACTTTTTTTGTAGAACACATGAAATGGTTAATGCATTATATAGAGTGATGGAAAAAATGGTATGAATGATTCCCATTTTATATATCAATTACTTTGTAAATAAATTTGGTATGTTTTTATTTTATAATAAATTGTAAACAAAATATAAAAAAATTTAAAAAAACCATTTTAAAACATAATTTCGTGATGCATAACAATTTTTGGTCACAAGCTAGGCCTCGCAATTCCTGACACGACCCGATAACCCGACATGACAAGAAAAATATTAATTTAATAATTCTATAACCCTAAAAAAACTATAATAATTATATATATTAATTTAACAATTTTATACCCCTAAAAACTATAATAATTATAATATATATATATATATATTTAATTTAATAAATTGGTGACCATTGGATCGGCTTAAATATACATACCATTCAACTTCTTAAGTGTTATATGTACAAAATAAATAAATTTAAATCTACTTAATAAATATATATATATATATATACATGCCATTGAACTTGATGGGATACGCATTCGACGAAATTAATTTCAACGATCCAACCATCAAACTTGTTTGTATATGATTCGAGATCGCATACACCAAAAATCGCAAAAAAGAAAGATTCAAAGATTAAGTAATAGGACAAAACTTTTTTACAATTATAAATGAAAAATTATGATTTAACGGTTATTTTAACTCCGATTTTGATGATTTTTTACAGCTACACTCCTTGACCCTATATGAATACAATGAATGAATTCGATCTTCAATTTAAACTATTTACACTAATGGATACCACAAAATCTTATGTTATACTTAATGAAAGTATAAATAACCTATAAATGTTAGTAAATCTATCTTTTTGATGGGATACGCATTCTATGATACTAATTTCAACAATCCAACCATCAAACTTGTTTGCATATGGTTTGAGATCGCATACGTCAAAAATCGCAAAAAAAAATAAAAACATTCAGAGATCAAGTAACGGGACAAAACTTTTATACGGTTATAAACAAAAAAATCACGATTTAACAGTTATTTTAAATTTACGCGGGAATATTGCGCTAGGAATACATATATTTCGTCACACAAAGTATATTTGCACGACGAAATATATGTATTTGTCGCATAAGTGTCTTAAATTAGGGGAATGATTTTGGGCAGCGAGGTTAGATTAGGTTTTCTTAAATTAGGGTTTAGATTTAGGATGCTTCACTGGGAGTTAGATAAGGGTTCTTAAATTAGGGGTTTTATAATTTCAAGTAAAGGGTTAGAATTAAGGTCCTGTCTCGCTTTTGATTGAATTTTTCTTATTACCATGCAAAGTGATTCAGTGTGTTGAGAAATAATGGAACTAAATCAACTTACTAGAATCTTTAGCTTTGTTCCTTGGTTTACCAAGTGGGGTTTTTGCTACTTTGCTGTTGGATTTTGGAATTTTTCCTATTAAATTGTTGCACATTTGTAAATGATTGTAAACAAGATGAGGTTTAAGAGCCAATGTTTTGTCCTACGGTTACGATTAGTTTCAATAAAGTATCTATCTTGCAGTATTGCTAATTTGGGAGTTTTGCATTTTTTTTTGGATTTCCGTCATGTTGAAGTTTATTTGGAATTGAAAATTTTCTACAGTTAAAAAATTAAGCGACACTCAAAACAATCTGTCTATGATGGGATCCTCGACCTTTGTTGATTTGTGGAATATTTTGAATCATCAAGTTGTTTTTTCGAAGGTTCAACCATCTCCCTTCTTTTTCTCAATGTAATTAAAAGGTTGCCGGTTTAGGTTGTGCTTCAATCTCAGTTCCCATGTATGCTTTCTTGGCTAAATTTGGATATATTTGAGAAACAAGGGGAGACAGAGTTGGATGGCATTTCTTGTTTTTCTTTTTTGATGTATGCATTGTACGCGCTCTACAGAAACCTCTACGTAGGTTTGTATGAATGTAAACTTGAATTATTGACGTGTAATTTTGTATCCTAAACAATTTTGCTAAGTGTTCACATTGCACTTGGGGCATACTTATAATGTAAGTACATGATCACCATCCTTACGTGCTAATTAAGTAAATACTAATAACTAAATGGATGCCTTAATGACTTCTCCTAAGCTGCTCTTCTCCCTTACTGTTCTTAATCTTTTGTTGACCATTTCTCCTTTGTCTTGCTCTTCTGTCGAAGAGGATCATGGCATTGATTTGCTGATATGTCAATTTATATCCAATAGTCATATGATTTCTATATGTAATGTGGATGTTTAAAGGGACTAAGAATCACTTTATATGGTCCCTTTTCTCATTACTACCTGTGAAACTATTAAGTAATTATGTTGATTAGTACATACACAGACAGTACACACACACAACTTGCATACATGAACACACATATACACACACACACACAAAGTACATGGGAAATTAGCATACATCAACACACACACCCCCAAAATTAGCATATATACATGGACACACACACAGACAGTACATACACACCCACACACACAGAGCACGTACATACAGACGAACGCATACACTCATAGGCTATGATTTTGCCTCCAACTACTCCTTTATGCTAGTTTCTTCTTATAAGTTATAATTGTTGGGTCTATATCCTATCTGAATTGATTAGTTTATGTATAGTATATTAGTTTTAAGTTTTGTTTCTGCCATACTTGAATTGGGTTTAGAATTAGGGTTTTTAAATTTTGTTTTAAATTTAAGTTGAAATTATTAGTATGTGCACAGTAGGTTAAATCTTTGTGTACGAAACAAATTGATTTCCAATTTTGTATATGCCTCACCTCATTAGAACTCGGATACTGGTGACTTCTATGTTGGAAATGTGCCCTAAAACCAATCATATGATGATACTTTACGGACATTTCAAACTAATGTAGTTCATTTCAAACTAATGTAGTTTAAATGTAAAAGGCAAAGATTATTGTTTGAGCCGTCTAATATAAATGTTATATGCTTAAACGATAAGTCCAAGGAATATGTGATTGGAAGAATGCGATCTAAAGAAGTTAGATTCATGAGACCATTCTTTCGTTGACACATCCTAAACGTTCCTGATCATAGGATTGTCAATTGGGCATTGACAGTCCGTTAAGATCAGTACGTGCTATGTCTTCTCTCAGGGAGAGTGACTAGTCTCGAGTCATTGGTGTGTGTGACATCAAGACAAGTACGTAGGTGCTCAATAGAGAATGAGTTCACTGAACACGATCAACGAAGAGTTCTCATATTCATGTCACATGAGAACTCATGGTTGGGATAATGCAAATTAGTCTTTTGACCTGAGGCATCACAGTTGTCTTGTGGTTAGGTCCTTAATCTTTGATTATGTCAAAGTCACTCTATCAGGGTGTCCACGGTATCGTTGGGGTTAAGCCACTTAGCCATGGAGGCAAGTGAATGCGCAACAAGGGATCTCTAACCTTCAAACTGTTTGAGGGAGAATACTCTATGATATGATTTAGAATCTCTGGCCAGAGTATGAATGAGATGTTGGAATGCGTTCCAGATCACATTCAAGGTAATCATATAAGTACAAGATTCACATTGGATAGTAGACATGAATAAACTATCAAACCAAACAATGTGGTCAAGAGTATTGTATTAGAGAAAGACCGTATTGCATTTGTAATCCTAAACTGAATAAGTTCTCCACCTCTTCTGATTAGCTTGGGTAACCATGATATGCTGCTAGGTGTCACTCATGGTTTGTGGAAGCCCTAAAAGTGTATTATCACTAACGGGAGAATTGAAAGTAAGTTTCAATTCATAATCGATTTGAAAGAGTTTGAATCGCCCACTGCCTCGCTAAAAGGAACCTAATGGATCGTACACCGTGTAAGGTAGAGATTGAAGATTCAACGGAGATGAGTAAGAATAATTAAATGGTTTAATTATTTATCTAAGGCTAGGATTAATTAATATGTTAATTAATCAAACGAATAAGTTCGTTAAAGACCTCGGGTTAGTATTGGGCCTCAAGGCCCAATGGGATTTGAATGTCAAGCCCATTAACTCAAGTTGTATGACAACTTGAATAAAACAAAGGGCTTGAAAGCCCAATAAACCTATAGGCTAGCCATGTGTAAAAGAATAGGGCTTTTGGTCCATTAGGTCACTTATTTGAAGGGACTATATAAAGGACTTTATAGCCTAAAATTTACTAAGGGTTAATTTTGGGGGAAAGGATGAGAACACAAGCTCTCCTTTCTCTCTAAAATTTTGGCCAGTCTAGAGGGGAATAGCTAGCAATCTTACTTCCTCTAGGTCACTCATTTCTTCTACAATATACCTTGGTGTGGAGACTTAGAGGTTCTCAATTTTGGGAACTTGGAGAAACCTTTTCATCCATCCAAATCCATGGATCCAAGATGCAAGGAATGAAGGCCCTCTCTTTGGGTGATTAGCCTTTGCTTATGCAAAGAGGAATCTACAAAGGTATTGATTTCTCAACTCACT